TATGAATTCCCAGGCAAGCATTGTGGGTGTGTCAGACTTGATTTTAGGGAACGGTCAGTAGTTTTGTCACATCTCACAGTAAATATTCTTCAGTGCCAACCTGGAAATTTACCTTTCGGAATCTTCTGTCAATGAATTGGTTTGACTAGGCTGCCCTTTATAAAGGATTCCACATCCCTGAAAAAAGTTACAATGATGCATTTCCAAACTCAGAGGAGGAATGGTTTAGAGCTTACATTCTGAAGAGCGGGTTTGCAGAATGCTGCAAATGACAGTGAAAGTCCAAAAGCCACTAGCAGGGTCCCCCATGTGGGTTAACCCTCTGGTGAATGCCCTCTGACTGGACCAGAGGTGGGGAAGTCCATGTTATCAGAACATTGTAGGGTGGGTTATCCTACAATGAGTTAGGTCAATCTGTGTCATCTTGTCATCCATCTTCCTCTTGATCCAACATATAATTGCTCCATTTAATATTTTCTGCTCTGTTGTCAATTGAGGTTTTCTGTTTTATTCTGCCATTATTGTCCAGCCATTTGCTCTATTTGGTCTTGATTTTGTGTGTTTTTCTGTATTTGAAACCTCTATTAGGTAAATTTACAGAGACAACAACTGGATGAGTAGATTCAAAGGGACGTGGCAGGGGAGGCTGGTGGGAAATGGGGAGCTAACATTGAGTACCGGAAGAAGAAGAAACGACCTGGGATTGATTGTGGTGATAGTTGCACACCTCTTATGAAAGTGGTGGAACTACTAAAATGTACAAAATGTGAATTGTGTGTCAGTGAAACTGGTAAAAATAAACTCATTTTTCAAATGAGTTAAAATTAAGGAAGTGATTTGTGGAGGATAAGCTGAAGACCACAAGAGAAAAAACATGTTTGAACTCAGAGTTTAGATTTAGATGTTTAAATACTCATTTGCTCGTTGAGCAGGGCTCTTGCCACAGTGCCTATTCTGAAGGCTGTTCCAGACCTACAATTCATTTCTGGGCTCTGTCTTTCAGGGTTTGTGATTAGTGAGCCAGAAAGGCTTTACTTAATTACTATTTGACAAGCTTCTAATGGCGCTCTCTCCGTGGTGTTAATTCTACTTGCATCAGCTCTTACTACTCCTCTGATGGGCCCAGCACCTAAGATAGCTTGCACCCCTTTCCTGCCATTTGATCCTTGTGGAAGGACGTGCTAATCGTTCCAGGGTCTGAGGGCTGGATGTCCCTAGACAAGATGGAGCGTCTATTTCATATCTGGTCTCCATGGAGGCAGAAACCGGTCCCTGTCCACAAGCTAGTTTAGTTCAGTTATTTTCTGGGAAAATAATGTCAGAAAACCCTGGAGTTTTAAGGCAGGACCCTTTATCAGTGATGGTGATGATGATGACGACAGTGATGATGGTTGCTGAACTCCTACTGGAGAGATGTCTGTCACCTCTATACACACCTACAGGGGTGAGGGTTCCTGGTGCCGGTTGGTCATTTGGTGCTGGATGGCTACAATAAGAGACATCGTCAGAGCGTGATGGATATTGGGAGGTGGCAGCCTAGGACAGAGCCTGGGAATCTGTGTTTCCTAAGCGCAGTCTAGAACTCGTAATGCTGAAGTACTCTTTAACAGCTTACTATAGCCTCCGTGTCCCCCGCACAAGTCCAGTTTTCTAGCCATTTGACATGGTTTTCTGATTCAGATGGGCTTCCCATCATACTGCTATCACGCAACCTCCTGCCCCCCACCTTCTCCTGTTCATTTGCCCACTATTTAAAAGCTGTCTAGAATGGGCACCAGGAACTAAAGTAAAACAAAGCACAGGGCTTGCAACCTCCAGGCTAAAGAAGTTCCCAGGCTAGTCAGGAGCCAATTAGGAAGCAAAGGAGGTACTGTAGAACAGTACAGATGTTGGACTAAATTGCAGTGGGAGCAGCTTCGCCTTGATGGGAAGTCAGGTGATGCGCCCTGGGGGAGAAGCTCTTTCAATTGAGGCTTGAAGGAGAAGCTGTTTTTTTGGATGCCTGGTAAACACAGGAGAAAAGGCTTTGTGGCTGGTGCACCTGACATGTGACAGGAGCAACAGGTTCTTTTTTCATTTTAATGCACTATCATTTTTGTTGTTGGAAACACAAAAACAGGCAGAACATATACCAATTCCAACAATTTCTATGTGTACAACTCAGTGGAATTTTATTACATTCTTAAAATTGTGCCGCCATCTCATCCTCCTTTTCTGCAGCCCTTCCCTTAGTCGTGGAAGGGAAGTGTGGGAATGTCCCCAATTAGAGAAATACCAACCCGTCAGGGACATCCAGAGTTGAACTGTGGTTTCTCATTTGTCTGGTAACATTTAATCATCTGTGTGGAGGGCTGGGGACGGGAGGAGAAGGCAAAGAGCATTCAACTGTGGACTTTTCCCCTTTTAGAAAGCATGTGTATTTTAGTTTTCACCCACTGCTGCAGAGTCGAATTTCACTCTTAGCAACCTGGAGGACGCAGTAGAACTGTGAGCCCCTACGTGGTTTCCAAGCCCGTAAATCCTCATGGAAGCACAGGCCCACATCGTTTTCCCTTGGAATAGATGCTAGGTTTGAACCACCAACCTTATGGATTGGCAGTTGAGTGTTTTAACTATTGGAGCACCAGGAGTCCTTTCTAGGTTTTTCCACGTATAAAATGTGAAACAACACATGCTACAATGAGGATGGGCGTGTCTACAGAGGCCAGGTTATGAAGTTCTTGTCTGTTACAAATGTGGTGAGAGTTTGCGTTTTACCGCATTAGCCCATTTTCCTGACATAGCCTTGTTACTTTTGTTTTTTGTTTCCCTTTTTCCGCTAATGATCTGTATCTTTGAAAGATCCTCTCCCATGACAGTATGACATGATGAAATTTCCTGGTTCTCATGCAATACCTTGGAAGCAGGAAAAACTAAGTGATAATTTTCTTTATCCCACCTGGGAGCTCCAACTTCAACATTCATTTTCTCCTGTTGACACCGCTTCATTTCTGAAGCTGAAACTTTCAAGGGTAGTGGGGAGCTGCCCCATCGGACTCTTCTTTGATTTGAAACTCGTGCTCTCAAACATCTTCAAATGAATGGTGATCATGGTTAACCCTGAATATGAAGGCTTCCTGCCCTTCTGGCTGCACTTTATCCGAGACGTTTATGCTCACGGAAGCAGAGTGCCCCATCTTTCTTGGAAACCGCTGCTATAGTCAATATTCTTTGCCACTCCATGAGTCAAAGACAACAATTCCTTGGTCTACTTTTGCATATGCAGATGAGACCATTGAACACACCAAGGCTCAGATGGAGCTCAACTCAGTTCTCAAAGTGACATCGCTGCTTTTTAACACTTTAAAGACATCTTACAGCAAATTTGCCAAATGCAACATGATGTTTGATTTCTTGACTGCTGCATTGGATGTGGAGCCAAGTAAAAGGAAATCCTGGACAATATCCATCGTTTTTCTGTTTCTCATGATGTTGTGTATTGGTCCAGGTGTGCAGATTTGTGTTTTCTTTACATTGAGGCATATTCCATACGGAAGGTTGCTGTCTTGGCTCCTCTTTCCTTCCAGCTGGCTTCAGACTCGCTTTGCTTTGAGCAAGCAAGGTGTGCCATCTGTTTTTCACAGGTGGTTAATTAGATCCTCCAATCCCGATGCCACATCCTTCTTCCTATAGTCTGACTCCTCAAATTATTAGTTCAATAGACAGTTGGGGTATAAGGTGAGTAAATATGGTGACAGGATACCACCCTGATTTTAAAACATTCAGCATCTCCTTGTTCTGTTTGAACAACTGCCTCTTGGTCCACGTACAGGTTCAACATGAGCAAAATGAAGTGTTTTAGAATGTACATTCTTTCCCATGTTATTCATAAGTTGTTATGATCAGCACAGTTAAATGCCTTGATGGTAAAGCACAAGTAGGCATCTTTTTAATATCCTGTACTTTCTGCCAAGAGTCATCTGGCATTAGCAATGAAATATTTTGTTTCATGGCCTCTTAAGAATTTTGCTTGACTTTCTGCCACAACCAGTTTTGACTTCTCATCAGCAAAATTTTACTTGTATATTATATTAATGATATTAATTAATATACTGTATAGTAGTGTGCGTGTCCGTGTGTCTATCTACCAATCATATGCCAGTTTGTCATATTGTGGTAGCTGTTGCGTTGTTGGAAGCTATGCCATCAGCATTGCAAATACCAGCGTGTCGCCCACGGTGGACTGGTTTTAGTGGCCCTTCTAGACTAAGACAGATTGGCATTCCACGTCTGAAAAAGTCACCTCGGAATATACTTGTTTTGCTTTAAGTTGCATCACTTTCCCAAATTTTGTCCAATTTAGAACTTAAAAAATTCTTTATTTTCCATATGCTAAAACAATAAAAGTATATTTTAGAACATGGGCAAATAAAATATACATTATTCTTTATATTCTTTTCACTGAATAATTATGGATATTTGGTTTTCTAATACATTCTAATGTATTCCGCACACTGTGTGCAAGTGTTAAGCCATGTATACATTTTCTCACTTTTAGCATAACGTGACTTTAAGTATGTCCTTATTTCATTGTAAATACTCATAAAAGCCTGTTCTGGTGTATTTCTGATCTGCTTTGGAAAATTCATCATTGAAAGTCAACAGAAAATTATATAAGGTTTTACATACTGATACATAATTTGCCACATGTATATGTAGTGGTTACTGAATCCACAAAGATCATCACAGGTCTTATTTTCTCAAGTAGCTGTTTCCAATAAGCGTGGTAGGTTGCAGAAACAATAGAGGGAACTCCAGAATAAGTTGGATGGGGACAAACAAGAAGGAATGAATTCCCAACAAATATAACTGGTTCAAATATTGAGTGCATTGAGCACACAGCTGCATTTAATCAATGTGTTCCTAGTAGACCTTTAGACCATAAATGTGCAAAGCTTCGGTGAATCACTTTTTCCAAAATCCTGGCTCTGAGAATGACTTGTGTTTTCCTTCTTTTCTAGAGTGACCGTCTTCTTATCAAGGGAGGCAGAATTGTCAACGATGATCAGTCCTTTTATGCTGATATTTACATGGAAGATGGCTTAATAAAGTATGTATCTGGACCCCTTCTCTCTATCTGCTTCATACTCCTTCTCTTTATTAGAGGCTCAGAAAGACACCGGCTCCTTTTGACTTACTACAATGCTGGTTTTCTGTGTCTCATTTCTTGTTCTCCTTCAAAATCACTGTTTATTCTAGCCCTTAAGTCTGGGTGCACATAATTCCTAAAAAGGGGGAGCCATTCTTAATTCTAACACTTGGTTTGTAAAAGTTACAGAGAATATAATCATCAGAGTGATGTTGAGGGCCCTTTGTACAAGCTGCATTGAAGGACATCCGTTGGGAAGACATGGTTACTGTCCTCAAGAATTCTGAAAATAAAAAAATAAATAAAATACACAAGTTATAAAGCCATTTACCACTGAGTCAACCTTTCATTGAGATTGGGGGGCATAAGTGGTTTGCACTTAACTGGTGATCTAAAGGTTGGTGTTTTGCATCCACCCTGCAGCACCACAGAGGACTTGTGACTACCCCAAGTGTGTAAGAGTCAAACTGTGTATTTTCAATGACTGGTTGTCCAAAGCAAATTGGCATATCTTTTCTTCAAAATCCCTCTGAGTGGACTCCAGCCTCAAATTTTTTGGTTAGCAGACTAATACCTTAATGCTTTGCAACCACTCAGGGACTCTGTCTCTTAGCCACATGATCTTCCAGCTCAGGGAAAGGTTACAAAGGTCTTTTATCACTGCCGATAAATGCATTAGGGGCACATTACCCTTCCATAACCTTAGCACAAAGGATGTTCTGCTCTAGCTCTGTGGGTCAGCAGACCTAGCTCCTCCAATTAACTACCTGGAGGCACTCACTCTGCTAGTGAAATCCCTGCAAATCCATTGCTTTTTCTCATGCTCTTGGCATTGGTGCTGCCACTGCCACTTCTCCGCCACTTCTCTGGTGTCCCAGCTCCCTATCTTATAGATTTAGGAGGCTCAGTGTAGGGCTTTACTATTGCTTTCTTTCTTGAGGTTCGTGGGATCTCCCATTATTGATTCTGAATTGACTGACTTTATACCTACCATGATGACAGAACTGACCAATAACCTCATCAGAGGCTCATGTATCATCTTAGCATGTTCCTCCCACTTGGTCATTTGTTGGGAGTTACCAAGATTATGGCTAGAAGAGTCATGGCAAGTAATTCACAGCACCATAATCATATCAAGCAAAGTATATCACTCCACTGATAAGATATTGTATGATTATATCCATGTTATTCTGTTAGCTGTCTCTAGCCGCTTTCTAATATATATATACACATACATACACACACATAAATAATCCAACTGTATCGAATGGGAGAAAGATTTTTGCCATAGACTATCTCTTATTTTTAAAAATGTGGCTTATATCTGACTTCCTGTAGCCCGCTCGTAATAGGCCTGAAGTCTGGGGTGGCTTTGACTTGTATGTGGTTTCGAAGCACACTTCTTTTAATAATCATTTCTAAGACTGATAGGCTTCTTGAGAGTAAGGACTGTGTTATGTCCATCTCCTTATCTTTAGCACTTAACCTAGTATTCTCTACACTCAACACAAATCGATTCTGACTCATAATGACCCTATAGGACAGGGAAGAGCTGCTCTTTTGGAGTTTTGATCTTTACAGAAGCAGACAGGCTCATATTTCTCCCAAGGAGCAGCCAATATGTTGAACTACTGACCTTGTGCTTAGAAGTACAGCCCCCAACCCACTAAGCCACCAGAGATCTACCTTTAACTGTGGGCCTTGCATTAGCACAAATGGGTTATGGTGCCTCAATGTGAGTTCCAGGCAATTTGATGGCAGTGAGTTAGTAACTGGAAGGTTGACAGTTTGAAACCACCCAGGAGCCCCGGTGGTGTAGTGTTGGGCTGCGATCCATAGTTTGAAACCACTAGCAATTATGAGGGAGCCCTGGGTTTGCCACTCCCATAAAGAGTTACAGTCACAGGTTTCCTGAGGCAGCGTTGCCTCTATGGCAGTGAGTGAGCAAATTGCAACACAGAAGACTCATGGGGCACGTGTGTGTTAGAACGGAACTGGGCTCCATTGGATTTTACATGGCGGATTTTTCCAAAGTAGATTGCCAAGTCTTTCCTTCAAGATGCCTCTGAGTGGACTTGAACCTCCAAGTTTGCTGAACTATTTCTGTAAACATTATAAGCAAGAACATTTTAGGGAATAGTTCTATACTGTAACACATCATGTCTCTCTGACTCAGAGGTAGCATGTGCCAGGCATTGTGTTAAAGATCTGACCTGCCTCCTCTCACCTAATTGGCCATCAGCCCCATGAAGTATTATTATGACCCTGTTTTCTCAGATTACAGAAAAGAGGCACAGAGAAGGTAACTAACTTGGAAAAGGGTAAAGGCCAAAATGTTAGTTATATACATCGAATAAACAACGCTCAGTTGCCTTGCCAGTTTATATCGCTCTCTTTCCTATTAAAAGCAGGATCTTTGGAAGTACCAGGTTAACTAGCCAACACAAAATAATAATTTCTTCAAGATAAAACCCATAATTGATCATCTATTTTTTCAGTTACTAAACATTTACATATCTTTGGAGGTAGCAACATTTAAATGTCTTTGAAGATAACAAATTCCTTAATTTAGAGATTTTTCAGGAATGGGGAAAAAAATTAGTACCTAATGCTCCTTTACCATTTCAGAGTTCATGGCAGGCATCACTAAAAGATCACAAAACTTTTTGTTATGGAGCCTTAATGCAGGATTGGAGTCTAAATTCACAACATGCCAGACGATCACTGCCAGAGTTGAATAAAATGAATCCTTTTTGTCATATTTGTTTGACTAGCCTGGAAGGCAACTTGCCAAGGGTGTTATAGATGGAATTTAGCCATAGATGTATGCCTTGATAAAGGAAGAGTTTGAATAAACATGATCTTCATGGGGTTTTGAAATGTTGTATTGATCCAAAGCAGCCTTAGATCATAGAGCAGAAAGACAGAAGCAATGTCCTCCATGTGTTACATAATTGTTTGTAATAGCGTGGAGTTTTGTTTTGTTTTAATGCAGGTGGGTTATGATTGGCCTGCTAACTGCAAGTTCTGGAATTTGAATCCACCAATCCCTCCGTAGGAGTAAGATGAGGCTTTGTACTTCAGCAAAGAGCTATTGTTGTTAGGTGCCATCAAGTTAGTACCAACCCATAGCGACCCTATGCACAGCAGAAGGAAGCACTGCATTGTCCTGTGCCAGCTTCACACTTGCTCATCTACTGAGCCCATGGATGCAGCCACTGTGTCATTTCACCCCATTGACGTCCTTCCTCTCCTTTGCTGCCCCTCCACTTTCTCTAGCCTGATGTCCTTCTCCAGGGACTGTCCTCACCTGAGAATATGTCCAAACTATGTAAGATGAAGTTTTGCCATCCTTGCCTGTAAGGAGCATTCTGGCCTTACTTCATCCAACTCAGACTGGTTTGTCCTATTGGCAGTCCATGGTACTTTCAATAGTTCTCTCCAGCACCACAATTCAAATTCAAATGCATCCGTTCTTCTTCAGTTTTCCTTATCCAACCTTCACATGCTTATCCATCCTTATCCAACCTTATTCAGTTCCTTATCCAACCTTCACATGCATATTAGGTAATGGAGAATACCATGGCTTAAGACAGTGCAACTTAGATCTCGAAGTAACAGCCTTGCTCTTCAATACTCTGAAAAGGTCTTGTAAACAGTTACAGCTTGGAAACCCAAAAGGTCAGTTCGCTGTGTCCCACAGAGTTTCTATGAGTCAGAATCAACTTGGTGGCAGTGGGTTTTGTTTGGGTTTCTGTGTGTAGGGAAGTCTCCCTGAGGCATTGTGTCACATACTATGTTAGATATCATTGGGACTTAAATCATCGTGCTACCTGGTTTCAAGGCTTTTCAGGGAGCTGAGTAACTTTTAAAACACACATAGGAGCTAGAATGTTGGTATCCACTATTACATTAGTAAAGCAGATGATAAGTGCTGAGAGCGTCACAGGAGGAAGAGGGCTATCGAGAAGGAGAGTGGCCAATAATAGTAATAGCTGACACTTACTAAATTCCGATATATGATAATTGATGATTTCGTGTGAGTGTATGTGTATATGTGCTCAACAGTAGCAACACATTTAATCCAGAAAATAATCCTATGGAGGAGGTCTTATCATTCTGTGAATAAAATAATGGCGGCATGGCAAGACTATGTAGGCCAATGACCCACAGCTGGTAAATGGTAGAGCCCACCTTGTGAATCCAGCTAGCCTGCACCCAGAGCTCAGCCGTGCTCTCAGTTATTAGACTCAGCTGTCAGGGGAAACTTGACAGAGCAGGGAAGATAGAAGCTGAGCCATCAAGGATGAATGTGACCTTTATTCAAGTGGTGGAGGAAAAAGGGGAAGGCAGATTCAATGTTATATTGGGTGTGAACATGCGTGCAATGTCATTTGGGAAAATAGAGAACCCATGTAATTCTTCCTGCCCTTAGTTCCTGATTTTCCTCTGCGGAAAGCCGGCGAGAGTGGAACTGAACTGGACAGTGTCTGGCCACGTAGAACGGGGTCAAGTCAGAGGCCGCCTTCTTTGTCACGGTGTGTTGTGAACTGTGGTGGGTCTGGAACCCAGTGGTGATGTGGTAAATTGAACTTGGAGATGTCATGAATGGTTTATTTTAATTGCGGAACTTGTAGCTTGGCAGGGCAGTAGTGGACTTGTTATTCCCAGTTCTCTGTGCCTTTCCTGGCTAGCTTTGAGGAACAGGGGAAACTATGCACACCGCTGGCAATGGGGTGCATCCATCCACAACATATTTTCTTTAACCGCTATCAAGTCAGTCCCCAATTCAAAGCAATGCCATCACCATGAAACAGTATGATGCCTGGTCTTGCACCATCCCCAGGATTGTTTTTGAATGGAATCATTGAGACTCACAGGGTCTTCACTGGCTCATTTTTGGAAGTAGGTCACCAGCCACATCTTGGCCCTTCTTAGTCTGGAAGTTCTGCTGAAACATATAGCAACACACAAGCCTCCACTGACAGATGGGTGGTGGCTGCACATGAAGTACACCGGCCAAGAATTGAACTGGGGTCTATGGCACAGAAGTGAGAATCTACCACAGAACTAACACCGACCAAGAATTGAACTGGGGTCTATGGCACAGAAGTGAGAATCTACCACAGAACTAACTAACTAACTAACTAACCCACAAGGCAAGGGAGGTTTAAGAGTAATGTAAAAACACCAGTGGCTTAGCAATCATAGGTCTACCTGGCACTGTATTGGGAAGGTTTAACTAAGTGTCTAAGTAAGGGTGTGAAATCCTATGTGAGCCAAAAGCCACTCTGGATTGTCTGTAAAGTATCGTTGTGTAGGAAAGAGTTGTTCGACAATTTCCATGTGTGATTATGCCCTCGGGGTACTCTTTCGTTTGCTCTTCGTCGTGTCTTCTCTCCTGGTCCTCCCTGGGATGCTCGGCAGCCTCCTGGGCAAAGCTGTGTGTGGTGGGGGTTGTCATCGTCACCTCCACTTGAGGTTCCCCTTGAGATGCTGGCCACTCAAAAGTAGCTGTTCTTGGGAACAACTGAGTCTCTGACCTTTTCCTTGCATGGGGCGGGGGTTAGGGGAAGACTAAGGTGGGACAGGACTCAGTCAGATTCCCTTTTGCTTCGATGAACCCATTGCTTGGACAGCCATGTCTCCACTTTGCTCTTTACATGGATGCACGGTCTCCTGTCTCTTCTAACATTTCATTATTTTACATTTTTGAGATCTTTCTCTACATATTATACTATAAGCCTAAAGGATAAAAAACAAATCAAAGGAGTAACAAATAACTTAAAAGTTAGAATACTAAGCCAAACAGATAAATGGTCCCATCAACCACTCCTCAGGTTGCTGTATATCTATAAAACATTGTTTTCTATTTGTATACCCACTGCCGCCACACTTACTCCGAAGCATGCCAACTTCAAGTGTGTCAGAGTGTGATGGTGTGTGCCTCCTAGGGATTTTGATGGTTGATTTTTCACATGCAGATTGCCAGACCTTTCTTCCAAGACACCTCTAGGCAGATTCAATCTCCACCCTTTGGATTAGCAGCTCCACATGCAGCACACTGTGCCACAGGGATGATCCTCCATGGATGTACTTGCCTTTAAGGATTACCAGACTTGTGAATGACTTTGATGAATATATGTTGTAAGATTTAAAATTCTTATATCACACTGTGATTTTCTTGGAGTTGTTCTCTTAACCTTCCAGTTGTTTACTTCCTCGCCAGGCAAATTGGAGACAACCTAATTGTCCCTGGAGGAGTGAAGACCATTGAGGCCAATGGGAAGATGGTGATCCCAGGAGGCATTGACGTCCACACTCACTTCCAAATGCCATATAAAGGGATGACCACAGTGGACGACTTCTTCCAAGGAACAAAAGCTGCCTTAGCAGGTGGCACCACCATGATCAGTAAGTCCGAAGATTTTACACGCGCACATCCCTGGAAGTGTGTGTTTAATGTGCTTGCTGATGGCAACCTGTAAGCCGTTTGCTGTCTAGTTGATTCCAACTCGTAGTGACCTTACATGACAGAGAAGAACTGCCCCATAGACTTTGAAAGGCTGTCATTTTATTTTCATAAATTTTATTCATTTTGCTTTTGAGAATATGCACAGTGAAACTAACACCAGCGTAGCAGTTGTAACGTATTGTTTAATCACGTGGATTATATCCATGCATCCTTTGAGTTACACAACCATGCTTAGCTCCTTCTCTGAGTTGCTTCTCCCCTATTAACAGAAACTCCTGTCCCCTGATGTCCCTGCCTAATCTGCCAAGTTGCTGTCTCCACTTTGATTCCATGTAGATAGTTATTAACAAAGCAAGATGCTCACGGCAGACCTGTTTTCCTAATTAAGCCAAACTACTGTTTGAAGGACCGCCAGCGTCTGCCTTGGAGGCAAGGATGGCGAGACTTTGTCTCACATCCCCTGGACAGGTGATCATGAGACCAGTCCCTGGAGAAGGACATCGTGCATGGTCAAGTGGAGGGCCAGATAAAAGAAGAAGACCCTCAGGGAGATGGATGGACACAATGGCTGCAGCAATGGGCTCAAGCCTGGGCACAAGTGTGAGGGTGACACCGCACCAGGCAGGGTTTCATTCTGTTCTACATAGGGCCACGGGTGGCTCCTAAAACTTTGGTTTTAAGAAGACATCAA